CCCTTAGCAGCCAGACTACCAATCCTTTTTATCACATCATCCTGCTACCACTACCTCCAACTGTTGAAGTATTCAAAGTAATGGAGTAACACACCGGCTAAGGTCGTGGCCAGAGGAACTTGAAACAGTAAACTGAAACAGATGAGAAGTTGTAGACGCTCCACTGAGTCACTAAAAATATTGGTGCCCTCACCACAGTCTACTACTGAAAGGGCATGCAAATGTTATAAAGGACTATAAAAATATACAGCAGTCTCCCTTCCTGCAGCTATTTACAGGCACTACACTTATTTCATTAGCAGTGGCAGAAGAAGCAATATTCAGAAGCAGCAAAATCTATTTCCTAGATATGAAATATGTACGTTCATTACAGCTAAAAACTACTTACCAACAGGTCTGTGATTTGATTGTTCTTGTAGGTCTGCTTAAAATAGATTAAAACAGCAGATTGTCAGTAACTACAGTCATAGTTGCCAATGTCAGAAAACGAACTGCATGTTCCATACAGCCATAGTCTATTGGTACTACTTTGCCTAATAAGTTACTAGTTTAAGACAAAAAAAGCACTCTTTTTTTTGTTTTGGTGGGGGTTTGGGGTGTTGTGTTGTTTACCTGATTTCCTCAACCCTCTTCCAGCAAACATAGCCTAATAGGCTATGAATAGCTAGTTCTATAAATTAAGAAATAATAGATGGTTACAGTAGAATTCTGAATCTCACAAACTGCACATCAGCATTTTCAGTAACACCCAAAACAGTTAATCCTCTCCAAATGAAATGCAGACATGCAAGATGGGGGATGCTTAGCAGGGATCACCATCTGTATGTGAAAATGCGTATATTTTGTACTTCACAGAGGGATGGTAGAGCCAATGCTCTGCCAAGAGGAACATGTAAGCGATGTGCCAAAGTGGTACACTTTGGATAACATGTTATGTATCATGACACTACCACTTCAGTGACTAAAACTAAGTCTTGGCAAAAACAAACATATCTTTGATGTCTAACCCGGGAAATTATATGACCTTTGTGATTTGAGATTTTGGGAACACTGTATCAGGAATAATCTCTTATGGAGTACTATTCCAGATCTACGTTTCTATAATAAACATCAAACAGGCTTCAAATCACATTAGCTCACTCCAATATGAATTCAAGAAATATACCAGTTCAACGTATCATGGGTGACAGCCAGACACCCTACATCTTTTTCATCTTAATTGTCTGAAAAAGCAGTAGCATACTAAAACTTAGAGTCCAAAGAAGCCACAGACAAGAAAGCAAATGATAATTCCTTTGTATTTGTATAAGTATACATGCAGTATAAAAGAGTAGCTTTGTGTGATTTTACAAAGATAATAGCAACCCTATGATTCACTATATTCTTCAAGTTAATTTATTGGAACCAGAAAGCTGTGCTGCTCTTAACATGGTATCTGCCCCTATTAAATCCCCAGTTATAAATACATCCAAATAATGTAAACTACATACTGTAGCCCAGCTAGGCTTCAGTGATTTGTAACATAAAATGAAGATGCGAAATTAAAATTTTTCAAAACTTACCACTTACCTGGTTTTTGAAGATCACTTAGATCTTCTGTGAAGAAATACACCAATAAAATCATAGTTTAAACAAGAAGCAAAACCCACATTTTTTATTAAGAAAAATGTAATTGTCACGCCATTATTAATAGAAGCCAAACATTAGAAAACAAACGACCTTTCTAAAATACTTTTGGCTTTGCATTTCTGTAAATCTAACCTTTCATGTTTATTCCACACACAGAGAAGAGAAAATCCTACATCAATATACTAAGCTATGCTAGACACACCATAATAATATAGTAGATCTCAAAACAAAGGGAGAAACACATACTATGCCTCAATCCGACAGGCATGCAAGCAGCTTGAATGAATAATGAGCAAGATGTCAGAATCACCCATTTGAAAAATAGATGTTTGAAGGACTGCTGAAAAAGCAACATCCTGAGCAAGAAATCTTACTTAGTAAAGCCATGTGTATTCAGAAAGACTTCAGATACAATTTTCAAACATTCTAAGCTACCACAGATTTCACCTAATTATTCTGAGAACACTGGAAACTATGGAAAAGAAAAATCATTTATGTGAAGCAGAGGCCTCTTAGAGCAGGTCTGCTCCATGCAGTGGAGCCCTAGGCAGACCTCTTAAACCACAAAACCAGGCTCATATATCCATGTGGGAGACCTGTAGCAACCTGAGGTGATGCTACTGTCAGTGTTAATGTAGATTAGTAGCAGAATGATGTCGCATCCAAGCAAACTGTAGTTTGGGTGTAGACCCCCACAGATAATACAGTGGTTATCTTCTGCTTCAAAGGGTAGTTGAATTACAGGTAACTAGGAGGCTTCTACATAGCACTCCAAAAGGTAATGCAGACACCTCCAAGCCAGAAAAGATGTGAAGGCTCAAAGAGATGATTGGTGTCAGAAGCTATGCCATGGAAGTGGCTGACACAGAAATGTGTGTCACTTGTATGTTCCAGTGAGTGACAGTACACAATCCCCTCACAATGTTAAACCTTTAACAAAAGGGCTAAAGGGGAACATCAGCTCTGGTTAAACTTTGAACAAGAAACGCCGCACAGCAGTTTAATTCCAAGAAAATTCTATGAAAAAACAGGGTAGAGAGCCATTTATTGTACTTTGCAAATGCCTTTTTTTTTTTCATTGTTGGTAGGTAACCTGGGAGGGGCTGCTGTAAGCAGCCTTACATCTTTATATATGATCCCCTATGATGTAAATATTACAGACTTTGAGATGCTCAGTAATTAAGGGATGGTATCAATATTAAAGGTCACAATACACTACTTCGTCCCTGTTACAGCAATGCAAAGGAGAACAGAAATGATCCTAATAAGGTTGCTGGAAACACTTCTTGCAGACACAGAGCTGACAGTGGAACTAGCTCTATCCAGCTCTCTAAGGTCACCCAGGTTCCTAAACATCTTCAGCTTTTCTTGCAAGGATGTTGCCTTCTGAGCCCAGCCAAAGAAATCTCAAGATCTTTACATTTCACTAGAAACTGTAAGCACAGGACACAAAAACAGTGCAAAAAAAATCAAACGACTTTGAATATTACAGAAGAAGAAATTAGCTTGGTTTTTCTCCTGTGTGCTCTAGGTCATGGTATCAAGGCAAAGAGAAAAGCACATGCAGAAGGAACGTTGCATCACACAGCAGTGTTTTAAAGTAGACTGAAACTCTTAACCCACACATGCTTTTCAGAAACACACTCAACAATCCGTCATCCCCGTCATTAATTTTAAAAAAATTGATTCACAACTAAAGATTTACTTTACCTTCTGTGCACTCCACTGCCATAGATTTCCTCCCTTGTGTTTGGGGGGGGGTAGGGGGGGCGAGAATTAGAAGACAATTGCTCTCAGTTATGAGAGTTAGCACACAAAGTGGAAGACAAAGGTCACTTCCAAACTTCTCTGCAATCTGGCTCATTTTATAGCAGTGTAAATCAGCACTGACCACAACACTGTATAGTGATTATTACTAAAACTCAGGACAACTAAACTAGAATATTTCTTAGGATAGGAAAGAACTTTTCATATGAATTATGCAATAGTATTCCCAGATAGATCTGGAAGCTATACAAACAGATCTCCTCCTCTTTAGTTTACTGCAAATACATGCACACACGCTAAACCGTATTATATTATTTTATTCTGCTTGCTATGAATAATCTCACCTGTCCTGATTGCTGAAGGACTCAGTGAAACACAGTTCATATCACCAACAAGGGTTAAACTGTTTTTTAGTTGCCAAAAAACATGAAAAAATCAGCTTGCAATCTGCTGACAAGCCATGTATGTGCTAGCAATGCCAAAAAAGTGGTAGCATTTCTATGCTTGTTACCATAAAAACCCAAAGCACTTTGTAACTGATAAAGCTCTAAAATTCCATTTGCTGCAAGCAAACACAGCTATTTTAACAAATGGATAAACTAAAAATACAGAAGGCATGTGCTTGGCTTAATACTGAAACCTCTAAAAATGAATTCTAATGATAGGGAAGAAATTGATAAATCAGCTGACCTACATCAAACAGAAAAACTCCTTACCTATAATGACTTCTATCTTCTTGCTGTCTTGATCTTCCTGGTCATTGAATACGTGACACCAGTATGTCCCTTGATGTTCCACATCCACATAAGTTACCTATGCAACCATCATCACAGTCATCCCGCCAGACCCCAAAAGAATACCTGTATCAGTTTAATTTAAGCCCACATGCAAGAAAGAGTAAAAACTAAAAGCAAAGCCTAAACAAATCCAAAAGCTGCCGATACGCTCATTCTTCAGTAAGCTGGACGGCATGTGTGTTCTAGAAATGCTTTCAAGAACTGAAGAAAGAATGTAAACCCACCTCAGAGGCTTGAGATGCATTAAGCACTGAATGCAACAGCTTGTACAAATCACAGTGCTTTGCAGTGCAAGATAGAAAGAGAAGCTTTCACTTTTACTGATACTTAATCTTTGTTATGTCAATATGTCACACTAATCCAAAATACACTATAGCCTTACATCCCATGACTACCACCTGAAACATGTTCAGGATTAAAATTAGGCACCTGAGAGCCTCAGAACAGTATGGGCAAGTAACAGAACAGGAGAACAACTTATAGCGAGCGCATCCATAATAAATTATCAAGGCTACGAAGAAGTTATTTTCTTCAAGGAAGCTTTATGTAGTAAGTTAAAGGTTGTTACACATTAGTCCCCCAAGGCTAGCACTTTGCAGTAACTTACCATGTAGACATTTTTGCTCCCATTTGCCAAGGGAAATCCATTTCTGAACCACTGGTAATGAGGAATTGGGTTTCCAACAGCTCCACATTCTAATACCAAAGCATCTCCCACTGTTAGGTTTTGTGACTGAGGCTGAATACAAATGCGCAACTTGCTTTCAGGCAAACCAATTAAGCTCCCTTAAAAAAAAAAAAGGGAAGAAAAAAGAAAAGAAAGGGTGAGACAATCTAACCACATATAGACTAACAAGAATTGACGACATACGGCCACATCTTCCTGTAACTACAACAGACTTTTAATAGCAATGAAATTAAGTTTTGTCCTTTAAGAGTATGCTAAAAATGAGTAGCAATAGCTTTCCAGTTCTTCAGTTGAAAAGTAAAAAGGAATGCACATTAAATATACCCCAGAAGTAAAAAAGTGCAAAGCTCTCTTTGCATTATTTATTCCTGCCTGTAGGATTACAAAGGTTCCAGAGAAAGGCACAAGCACAAAGAAGAGTGGCTACTGAAGGATGGACTGAGGATCCAACTTGTGTGCAAGTGTGGACACAGGAATAAAAATTTAAAACTTAAAATCAGTTAATTTTAGCATATCCATCTTCTTCCCATTCTAAACTGAGCATCAAACCTTATGGTAAATATACTAAAAAGCCCAAAGCTAAAAACACTTAAACATCAGCCACTGACATGTCCCCATATAGAAATGTCTTTGGGAAAGAAACCTATTCGGGAAACCCTAAATGCACTAAAGACTTGTCCAGCTGATGTAAGTTTCTATATATGATAAAATTTATTGAAACAAAGTGTTGAAATTCATTTTTGAAACATCCACTATACACACAAGAGTGTTCCACTGACAAGGTTTCTGATCTCTGCGTACTGAACAGTTTGATTAACAGACACATACTACAGGAAGCCAGGACCTACTTGTAAAGGTCACACCAGTGATCTTTTATCTCAGCTGCAAGGTCACTCAACTTTACTTTTAGACTACATATGTAGACACATGTTTTGTCATCAGAACTACTCATGACTGACAATTAGGGGGTGATGACATTTTCCTTTGCATAGTAAAATAAAGGGAGACAGTGATAAGGGTGTCTCTCTTCTACTAGAGTCTGAGCCTCTTGGCACATTAAAACTTGTATTTCAAAGATTTTACAAACAGATGTTTCATATTTATGATCAATGTTGACTAGCATTTTTAAAAGAATGCTGTATTCCTAATGCAGACTTGATACTGGTAAAAAGACTGACAGATGCCTGAGCAAATATTCTGTTCTATGACCACTGCTGTATGGCATTTCAAATAGAGACCCTGGCTTATCATGTTCTCTATCAACTTCTATAATGGTGTTGGGTTTTTTTTCTTACAAAGAGCTTTGTTTCCTCTAACTTTTATCATAGAAAAGATTTTTATATGTCAAAATAAACTTTACTCCCTTTAACTCAGCTTTTTACAGAATATTCTCTCTCCCTCCTTCTGAATGTCTCCGTTTGACATCAGGATCTTTCAACAAATTGTAAAGAATTAATTTCCCTTTAGGGCAGAAAGACAGAAATAAGATGGAAAGGAACTGCTGTTGTAGTCAAATTAAAAGCACTAGTCTTTAAGACAAGGAACACAAAAGTTACAGATAGTGAAAGAGAACATGAGATTGAAAGATAATGTGGTTTCTGTCTCCGGTGTGACCCCTTTACCTGCCATCTCATTTACAGGCTGTCCTTGGTACAGCCTGTTGTTGTATCACTCGCAAAATACACTAACAAGCCTGTAGCAGTATCTTTCAGAATTGTGTCTGGCTGCCTCACCAATCACAAGCTCACAAGACAGCTATGAAAGACAGCATTTCACAGAATAGTTGAGCTCTCATCAAATAGAAAGCAATGAAAAGAGAGGAGGAAAAAAAAAATCTGAAAAAAAGAAAGCAACCAAGGGAGCAGGAAAAGGAGAAAAAAAAAAAAGACAGTCAACAACTGAAATAGAAGCTTTCATACCTAGTCAACATTTGCACAAATGTCATTGTCGTCTAGTTCAACTGAAACACCGGTAATCCCAGGCCAAATGTTACAGGAGATAGCACTCATTCCGTTTAGGCACTACATACCCCTTTTAGGTTTCTTTCTAAGCACCCTAAGAGGGAAGGTTATAGGAAGAAGCAATCCATCTTGCCCCTTATCCTTTTACCCATCACCAAGACCTAAACACGCTAAAATTCACTTCCACTGTGGTTCCTGGTTGACCAAGAGTCATGGAATGCAAAGCAAGGCACTAGCCTGTGGATACCTGCTGCCCTTTAGTCACCAAAACTTTCACCACAAGTGTGAAACAATATACTGCTGTTTTTCTCAGATTTTTTTTCCAAGTAGTCATTACAAGCTTATTCATCTCAGCTTCCTGGTGTAATCAGCAAGATCTAAACCTGCAGGTTTCTAACTCAATAGAACCTGAAGTAGGAGCAAAGGAAAAGCAGAAAAAATCATCGCTTAGATAAGGGATCGAGAATATGTTCGAGATTAAGATGTAAAAAGGTCACCTCAAATGACATTGCAATAGCTTTTGATCTTTTACTGGAAGATCGGTTCTCTCTATTCTCTTTTCCTGACATGAATAATTTTTATATGTGGGATGCAAGTGGAAAACACCTTTGACTCGTGACATAAGACAAAATAAGTACTCTTCACAGTCTGAAGACAGTGCAGCTGATTTCTATCTCACTCATCTTTAGGCCAATAGCAAGCAAGTGCAAGCTTTTTAATTAGAAAGTTTATAAAGGGTAGATTTAGTGCATGGGTCAATGCCTATTTAATGCAACTGACTATTCTGTAAAAAAAAAAAACAAACCCCAAACCCAAACCAAACCAAAATCCTTACGCACACCAGAAAACAGAAAGATGCCACTCCAGCAACCTCAGAAACTGGAAATAAATGCACAGTATTAATATACTCGATCCAAGAAGTAAATTTCCAATATTTTCTTTACCTTCTACTAACAAATTCCAGTACTAGCTGGATACTCTTGAGTAGACAGCTATTTAATCTTATTTGCTTTCTGCTATTATTCCATTCTCCTCACGCTTCTTCCATACTTTCATCATGTATGCTGCAGATGGAGATTAACCCATCACTAAAGCAGAGGTATCTTCAAGCCAGTGCCATAAATTCAGACAGACTTACACTGGTACAGTTGAATTATTATGGCTTTTATTATGCAGGTAACACACATTTGACTGTTAGCTTACCATTTATAAAACCCATGAAGATGCAATTCACACCAAAAAGACTCAGTTTAACTCATGTGTTTCTTCCTCTAATAGGTTTATTTCAGTAAATTGTTGGCATGTCTTCACTATTATCTGGGTTGGTTATATGAAGTTGAAAAGACTGCATTAGCAAACATATATTCTGCAACAGACATATCCACGGAGCCCCAGCCTCTCTTTCTTTTCCCCAGGTGTTCTGGCAAAGAAAGAATGTGCTGGGCTTTGACCAATTTATCTTTCCTGGTTGGTACATGTCTAAGATTGTGATAGCCTATTATGATCTGAAAAAGTGACTGGAAGGAAGATCTATCACTTCGCTACCTGCCAAACCTTATTCCAGACCTCAGTCCTGTTTCCTCAGAGTGCAGTTAACACTCTTTCATTCCACAGTATCTAGGTTTTATAAAGTGTCCAGGCCTCCAGCATGCACGCGCTCTTCTGTAGTTTACTGTTCTAACCTTCTAGGTAAGGTAGGACTTCCTTCTAGGATGGCAGAGAACCTCGTTAGATTCTCCTTTATCCAAATACCTTTCTTCTCAGACTGGCAGCACACAGATGAAGAGGAAACAGACAATCCTGACTGTTAGGCCAGAGCCCATGGGGCAGACATTCAGAATAGACTCTGCGTGTCCAGTTGCTAGCGAGTTACAAGAGGTAAACAAGAGAGTTAAAGAATTGCTTTTCTGGTCCAAGAATCCTCTAAGAATTAAAAGGATCTGAGACTGTATATGTTTTCCATCTATCTATTCTTATCCACCACTGTGGAACTTTATTTCTCTTCTGCTTTTGTGACCAGCACAAGGACCCAATAATTGGATACCACATTTTTAATCAGCCCTCTTTCACATCTCTGCAAGACAGCAACGGGGACCCAAGTTCCTCTAACAAGTGGGAAGACACACTTTCAGAAGACAATGTTTTTGCCACTCACCATGAGATGTACCCTGGAGATCACAAACTTCAAGTCGTGCCCACCGACTGAACACAAAGGAAGACTCACTGTTCACTCGACAGATGTAAAAGCCAGAATCGTTCACATTCACTGGATTCAAAACCAGCTCTGGAGAATTACCATGGGGAACCTGAATTACAGGTGAACCAAGAAACATTGAAATTTACATTGATTTAATCTATGCCAGGATCTAATATTAGAATATGTACTTCCATGTCCATAACACCAGCCTCAACTCCTTCATTTACTTGAAACTTTTGGATGAGAAAGTCTTGGTCTATATATTTAGTAGCTCAGAGACAGGCTTTCTTCCAAGAATAATTCATATGTCTCTATTTAAGACAATTCTGAGCTTTTAAGCCTGTTGAAAAGCTTTTCCTGCAATTAATAATTTTTACCTTTCTCCACAAATAACTCTGAATAATTCCTTAAGCCCTACTCCAACCAGCATATGTGTTACATTCAGCTCTAGTCTTAAGATACATTCAACTATGACCAGGAAACTGTAAAATTCTTTCACGGAAAAATAATTTTTTACTACATCTCTATTTTAACTGTAATGAGCTGGAAATGACTGCAATCCTATTTTTTAAGCCATATTTTGGATTATCTAGATAAACTTTTAGAAAGGTGAAGAAAATGAGTTAAAAATTTCAGTCCTAACAGCAATTTAAAATACCATAAACTTACTCCATTTTTAAAATTAGTTCTTACAATAAAATAACATTAAGAAAAAAAGTGCATTCATCTTGTAGAAAGATAACCAGGACCAAAAATATGGGCATTAAGTGCTGCCATTCAAATTCCAGAGACACCAGCTCACATGCATTCCAGTATTGTATTGAAGAAGTCTGTGGCACCACCAAGTTCATGCCTTCAACTGTTCATTCTTAGGAAACCAGTTTCCATCTGTCCAAGACCAACAGTGATTGGCATTTGTTCCAGTGCGGCAGTTTCTCAGTAGCCTGTGTTAAACTTCTTGGTAAGCGGAGAGACAACTAAACTTACAGTTTCCTTACTGTCACATTCCAGGATTAGCCTCCAAGGCTAATCAGTCGTCTGAATATAAGGAATCACCTTATTGCTTTAGCACATTGATAGGGTCATTATGCAGCATTTCTTAAAATTCTATTTTTATTATTATATATAGCAATCTTCTCTCCTTGTAAATAAGAGTAACAGTCTTTAAAAAAAAAAAAAAAAGGATCATCCAAAATCATTACCTATTATTTTGACCACTTAACCTATATTCTGTATCAACTATTACCTCTTTTTCCTGTTTGAACCACTGGTAATGCACAAATGGGTGTCCTGTTGCCCAACAACACAGCTTGACGACCTGACCAGAGAGCACTGCTTGAGAGTCTGGCTGTACAACAATCTTTATACCTTTAAAAAAGAATTTATACATAGGAAAGTTATTAAGAAATACACTTCCACAATTTAAATTTGCATTTAAATTGTCCTTTGAGCAAAGAAAGTTTCTGTCATTAAATATACTTGAAAATTTGTTTCTACTGTGTATACATGCAGTTGCAATTAGTAATATGACTAAGACATTCAAAATTGTCTTCCATTACACAAAATCCATGCTTAAATTGTTCAGTACTCTACCGAATTTATCAGAGATTTAAAGTAGATCATTCAGACATTTTAATTTTAGGATAATTCAATCCCTCTTGCTCTCCACTCACTAAAGCAAATAATACTTCCAATGGCATCACAGATCCCTTCTGGGAAAGCTATTCCCAGATTTAAGAGTTTGCTTACTCCCAACAACTTCTTTGAGTTGTTAATCCTCAGATTAAGATTAAGCACAGCCTGAGGGATGGATCAAAACAGTAAGAGTTAGTTTAACTACAATAGTGTGTTTTTCTACTATTCCTCATGCAACCTTATCAGCTGAAACATTGGTTTCAGCTTTATGCCTTTGACTCCTGTAGAACACAGGGCTGGGGTTTACTTTTGCCAGTCTGCAAGGTAAAATTTTCCACTTCAAATTTTAACTGCCAGGAAATGACATGAGTGAAATTCTGACACTGGTCTGATATGATCCAGTTGTTTTCTTAACCTAGACCATTCCAGAGATCTAGTTACAGCATGACCCCAAACACAGATCCACTGGTATAACCAAGGTCATCAGAAGAAGAGGAGGGGGGGGAAAAAAAGTCAACTGCAGAACAGAGTTTAACCTCACACTGCTGTAAAAAATACACGGACCTACGACCAAGGTGTTGAGCAACACTGAGCTGATAAGCCACCAAAAATCATTAGTTTAAAGCATTATTGGCTATGGATGGTAAAATGCATTTAACAACCCCAGTGGGACCACAAGCAATACTACACATTAAAGACTAGTTGCTACAATACTAGTGTTGTGGGTTAACCCTGGTGGGCAGATAAGCATCATGCAGTCCCCCACCCCCACTGGGGTGGGGGAATAGGGAAAGGAAGAATAAAAACAAGAAAACTTGGAGGTCAACATAAAACCACCACCACCACCAACAAATTGTTTAATAAGTGAAGGATGACTGGAAGAATAGTGAAGAACACAAAACAAGTGACACAAAGGCAACCACTCACCACCTTCCGTGGGTAGACCGATGCCCAGCCAGTTCCCAAGCAAAAGATGGCTAGGCCCTCCAAAACTCCCTCTTTTCCCTTTTATTGCTGAGCATGATGTTATATGGTATGGAATACCTCTTTGATTAGTTTGGGTCATTTGCCTGATTGTGTCCCCTCCCAGCCTACTGCACACCTCCAACCTATTCACTGGGGGGGGCAGAGTGAGAAACAGAAGGCTTTGATGCTGTGCAAACACTATTCAGCAAAAGCTAGAACATTGGTGTGTTATCAGTACTGATTTGGTCAAAAATCTGAAACAGCGCCATATAAGCTGCTATGAAAAAAATGAACTCTATCCTAGCTAGGCCCCATACAACTAGTTACAGAAAAAGCACAGAAACAGTGAATGGTACAGAGGCACTTCATCACCATCAGAAATGAGCAATCAGATACAAAACAGGTATACATACTAAAAATTTCTTTTTTTTTTTTTAGAGTCAGTCTAATTTCCCTGTTTTGGGAGAAAGTAGTTCCTTCTTTATAGCTTAAGGAAAACACATTGCAGCTGGATGTCATCTACCTGGACTTGTGCAAAGCATTTGACACTGTCCCACATGACATCCTTGTCTCTAAATTGGAGAGACATGGATTTGACACGCTGGAGGGAAGGGATGCTATCCAGAGGGACCTTAACAGGCTTGAGAGGTGGGCCTATGTGAACCTCATGAAGTTCAACAAGGCCAAGTGCAAGGTCCTGCACATGGGTCAGGGCAATCCCAAGCACAAATACAGGCTGGGCAGAGAACGGATTGAGATCACTCAGTGGATAAGGAATTGGCTGGATGATCGCACTCAAAGAGTTGCAGTCAACAGCTTGATGTCCAAGTGGACACCAGCGATGAGTGGCGTTCCTCAGGGGTCAGTGTTGGGACCAGCGCTGTTTAGCATCTTTGTTGGCAACAGGGACAGTGGGAGAGAGCACACCCTCAGCAAGTTCGCTG